ACATCAAAGTTAATAAAAAAAAAAAATACAATTTTAGTAAAAAAATTATTTTTTATATTTTTAATTTTATGCTATAACTTTTTGAAAAATATATGGATCAATACATTTTTATGATAAATACTATTTATATACCTCTTTCATTCGACATACTTTTTTTTTAAATAAAATCATTTCCCTTTATATATTACACTTATAAATTATAAAACTTGTAATCAGGATATAAATAAGGAAATAGGAGAGCATGCAACTTTTGGAATAATTCACCAATTTTTTTAAATTAAATACTATCTACAGATTTGCATCAAAACGTTTTTTATGATAGTGATTTTAATCACTGTCAGATATCATTTTACTTGACCTAACTATGCCACGTTCCCACTGTGCTGAGTTTTTTTAAACCTAATTTGAAAAGATTAAATTAATATTCTTTTAAAAAAATATATATATGAAATGTGTCATTATTAAACATTCAGACAATTCAAGGATATTATTTGACTTCTAATGTATTTTTGATTTATATGACCTCATCTACAAGATTAATTAAAACTCATACTCTATATTTATATGGTTAAATTACTTTAAAAGTTTATTTTTGAAATTATTTTGTTAGATAGAAAGTTATGTCACAAAATATCGAATTTTATTTTATATTTATTGTTTTCTTTTTAATGTTAAATTTTTTAATTTTGAACAGTGTACTTACAAAAAAAACTGTATAAGAAGAGCAAAAAAAAATTATATATATATAAAAGATTATGAAAGTGCTAACTTTAAAAAGGATTTTTCCTAAAAATCTTCAAAATATCAAACATTTATTATTAGTTACCCCTATGAATAAGTACAAAAAATGTATACATTTTTACACTTAAATATTTTATATATGATAGTAGAGCTTTTTTTATTTCAAAGTAAATTTTTACAACTTCGACAAAATTTATTATATTTAAGTTTTCTTTGGAAAATGTAATTTTTTAATGTTAAAAATATACATTTATTAAATATAAAAGCCGATTGGATGTTTGCATAATTTCGTTAAAATAGTTTTTAGCGACAAAAATATTTTACAAATATCTTATTTCCATTAAAAGTGTCACTTATTGTTTCATCTGTTTACCTATCTATACTTAAGCTTTTAAAAATTAGTAAAACAAATATTATTTTACTTTAGCTTATTTAATTATATTTATCGTTTAAATAAAATGTTGTTCGAGTATAATTGGTAAAAGGAAACGCAAGACAATATTGTTATTAAAGTTCTAAAGAACTTACATATAATAATTGTCAATACATAAAATATTGTTTAAGCATAATGTTATTTCTACATTCAAAGTTGAGTATTTCTTTTTATTATTATGAAGTGATAATGTGCTGTAAGTTCTTTATATAATAAACTAAATGCTTTTTAGATAAATTATTTAATATGTATAAATAAATTATGTTAGGAATTCAAATATTAAACAATATTGATATATGTATTTTCCATTATATGTACCATATATTTTTTTAAGTAAAAATTCATAGGAAAAATATTATCCCATGTTTCATAATAACACGAGAAATTAACCTAATGTCCGTAGTTTGCAATTTTAGCTTGATAAATACTGTGTAAATATAACCATTTGAATATTTATAATTCTTTTTAGAGCAGAATTTATTGTGATTACTTTAGGATATCTAAATAAAAGAATTCCGGTTATATATTTTAATAACAATAACAGAAATAATGGTTTAAATCAAATAAATAAAAAAAATGAAAAAAATATAACAAAAACCATTATTTTTCAAATACTTATTATAATTATCGTTGTAAAAATTGTGTATATAAATTATTAGAGAAGTGAAAAATCATCATTGTTGTATAGTTTTCTTTGAGTGTTGATGTAATAAATCGAAATGTAATTTTTTAAACAAAAATATTGTAAAAATCTTTAATATATTATAAAATTTGATCAGCATACTTTTATAATTTTAATACTGTCTTTCGTTAGATAATTATTTTCAAAAAATTTTTTCAATAATAAATATTACTGTTTGATTTAAATGCTTACAGGTTTAGATTAATTAAAAATGAATCCAAGTTTAACTACAACTAATATTCTCAAAAATTCGCATGTCATATTACGCTATTAACTAATGTTATTTTTACCCTAAATACATAATTAAAATCAACACTCCACTAGTTCTTGGTGAAAATCTACATGCAATTGTGTATGACTACAACACTACTTGGGGTTATTAAACTATTAACTTTTTTAGCGTGTTGGTTAAATCAATCAATTTAACGTTGTTTTTTTTTATAATTTCTATGCTTGTTGTATATGAAATCTTTATCTAAATCTGACTACGGTATTTTTTTATTAGATAAATACTATTATAATTTCATATTTTAATTAATTATAAAATTCAATTTTTTTAAAAAAAAAAATTTAAAAAAAAAAACAATCCATTTTTCACCGACATATTATGAAGATCTTTTATAATTTAGAAGATCTAATTTTATGATTTTTACTATACGATCATCTATAAATAATTTTGGACAATTGATCAATATGTGATTTATTTCTCAAATATTGATCAATTACACAAAACGGTACTCTGTTAATGGAAAAGTAAATATGTTGATTAGTGTTACAACTTACAATATAAAACAAACACTTAGGTTTCAATACATTATTTTAGTAGTGTAAGAGTACTTGAAAATTTCAGTTTGTTGACGTTTAAAACGAAACAATTATTCGCTAACGGGTTCAAGTATTCTCAAACAATAATAAACATGATGTTCTACTAAATCAAATATTTCTGAATTTAAAACTTTCGATAAACTGATACACTGAAAAGCTTGTTGGTAATAATTATTTATTTATCAATTCATTTAAAGAATAATAAATATAAAATATTTGTGTAGCTTTCGTATGACCTATTGTTAATAGTAAAATTATTGTTTTTATAAAGATGTTCTAAAAAGTATATAAGGAGGTACATTCTCCTACAACACTAAATTGCATATACATGATCGTGTGTTGTACATAAACTATAAAAATAATTAAGTGACAAATAAAACTCTCATAAAGTATAGTCTCAAAATTAGCTTTGGGATTTGAAGGACAATGATACTTATAATGAATCTCAAAGGAAATAATACAAAGATATTTCTAATAGCTATAAATTATTTCACTGCAATTAAGTTAGTTATTTGATTATATGAATATCAGTTATTAATGTAAGTCTACTTATTACTTATCATTTTAAAATTACTGTCGAAACGATTGAATTTTCACAATGTACTCATTATTTACAAAATAATATTTTAACAAAATGTAATTAAAATCTCGTACAAAGGTTACTTTTGAAATCATATTCTAAATATCTTTACACATTCAATTTTAAATTGTTAGAAAAAAATAGTGGTGTTAATGAAAAAAATAAGTGATATATTAAATTTAAAATTATTTTAAAGTATAAATTAAGTTTTTTCAAATACCAATTTCAATATTTTTATACATTGTATAATGTACATTATATATAACAGTATAATTGTATATTTATTTTTAGCTTAAGATTATTGATGTAAATGCAAAATATTAGAAAAAAATATGTCTCTATTTACAAGACCATTAAAATTAGTATAAATATAAATATCGCCACAGGAATTTTTTATGTATATTGTATTTAGAATGACATAAAAAGGTGTTTGAATATTTTCTTTCAAAATATTGAATAAGAAAGTTTTTCGTATACATGTTTCTTTCATAAAATAAATTCCAATCATTTAAATATGAGCACAAGCAATGACTGACATGTTTATATTTGTCAGGTCTTAAGTTCGCATTTTTTTAATGTAGTTTATGTGTTATTGAAGTATAATAATATTAGAAATCTAAGGCGTATGGGTACCCGACCATATTTTAGTTAAAATAAACTCATTTTTGTTCCATTAGTACGGCAATAAGAATTCTGAAAATAAAACTGAATTCAGCATCATGTTACTTAAGTATCGGCGAGGACACTTTTTTTAAATTTTTGATTATTTCAACAAAATGGAAATTTTCAAAAATGTAACCTGTTCTTAAGGGTTGAAAGATTCATAATTTAAAAAACTTTGCCGATCGATTCTTAAGTGTTATGACGCTGAACTCAGATATATTTTCAGAATTCTTATGACATCAGTAGATAGTAGTTACGATTAGTTCCATCGAACTTGTTTCTACAAATGGGTAGTTTTGTATGTCCAAAATATTAGTTTTGTAGCAGTTATATCTGACACGCTTCTGTTTTCGTCCGCATATGCTATTTTATTACCAATTTAATTGCGTAGGACAATACCGGCTGCCTAAAAATAGTTATAAATTAATACACACTTAATAATATCATATATAATTATCCATGTGAAATATTATTATACCAAATTGAATAATATTTAATTATTTGCTTTTAGATTACAATAATATGATCTTAAATTGTTACCATAGAATTTGATTTTTGTAATAATTATCAAAAATTAAGCTAAACGAATTAAAAATAAAATTTTAGTAACAAAATTAAAAATAAATCAATCCTACTATACTCATATGTATTTTAGATGAAAATATCGTATAGTTAATATTTTAATAGTTTTTATTAGTTAAAAAAAAAAAAGATTACAAAATTGCTGAACAATAATTTAGTCTTGTAATGCTATAAAAATTGAGACCAACTAAAATCTCTAGAAAGACCATTTCATAATTGATTAAAAAAGTTCACTAGGATTATGGAACTAAGTAGGATCATTTAGTTATACTTTAATTCTCTAAAACCTTCTTCACATTTTATGGTCTTCAAGGACTAACATCCAGTAAGAATTTCTCGTTAACTATTAGCCATTAAGAGAGAAACGTGACGTAGACTTAATACTGCAGCTTAAGGCCAGTTTTCGGCGTAAAACCCAAGGGGTAAAGGTTTGGTATTGAGTGCGTGACACACAATTTTCCGTCTAAAAACTTTGAATTTGATTTTTGTTTCAGGAGCAGACCAAACCTCTAAGATCACAAAAATCATGAGTTATATTTGGTGGAAAGACTTTCGGAGAAAGCGCCCACCGCCAGATAGGCAAACATGGCGGAAATTTGACTGCGGCCAACAGCCAATCGCCATACCAATGTCGATTATTGTTAGCCATCTCTCGCTTGTCTGTATTACCTAATGTGTTGCCTGAATTGACGCTCAAAAAAAAAAGAAAAAAAGCGGTGACGTGGATCAAATTACTGCATTGGTACCCAAAATGGATGTAGCCGATGTAAATCTTTCTAACCTCTCGGGGGTACTGTATAAAGTCGTTCAAAACGAATTTGGTTTGTTGGTTGATCAGAACGTTACAAATTATTTCAATGACACGAATGGAACTTTTAATCCAAACCGGACGTACTACATTTTTGAATCGGTGTATCCATCGACTTATTCCGTGCCAGAAATCGTTATTGCGTCTATTGTAGTTATAATGCTCATGATCGTTGTTGTTGTGGGAAATATGCTAGTTATCATAGCTATTGTCACGGAAAAAGCACTGAAAAATGTTCAAAACTGGTTCATTGCCAGCTTGGCAGTGGCTGATTTTTTTTTGGGACTTATCGTCATGCCCTTTTCGTTGGCCAATGAGTTGATGGGGTACTGGATATTTGGCGATTGGTGGTGTGATATACATGCAGCTCTTGACGTCCTATTGTGTACTGCGTCTATTATGAACTTGTGCCTTATCGCATTGGACAGGTACTGGTCTATTACTCAAGCGGTAGACTACTTGAAGAAGCGAACACCAGCCCGTGCCATAATAATGATTGGGTTTGTATGGATATTCAGTGGGGTAATTTGTATCCCACCGTTACTCGGTTGGAAAGTCAAGAGGGTACCGGAGCGGTATCCAAAATGCGAGGTAAGTTTTATAGTGTTTTTATCGCTATAATAGTATTAATAATATGTTTTTCATTTAACTTTTATCGGAAAATCAATATGAAAAAAAGGACTTTAATTAATAAAAGACCTATTGAGTAAAATCATTTGTTTAAAAAATCGACATTTAATTGTTATTACCCATCAACTTTCAATAAATATTTTTAAATTCTTTTAAAGAATTTCTAAAATTTCATTTCTCATTGAATTTATATTGTTATCAATTCTAAAAAGTCGGTTTTAAAGCCATGAAGCTTTGAATTATAATAGTGGATATTTCCCTTCACTTTTATGAGAAAGAATTCAAAATAAATTGACTTTTAGAAACAATTTGATAATTTATCCAAAGACCTTTATGTTACAATATTTAAATATTATAATTTCTATAAAATATATAAATGGAAATTAATTCGTATGTGTCTAACTGATGAAAATCCTATGCAAATGAATACAGTATAATTATCATTTAACTGTTTTACTATGTATTTATTAAGAAAAAAAACCAAAAAATATTTCAATTTTGATAAATGACAGCGATAAAATCTAAATAAACAAAATAATCAACAAAAGTAACATTATGTACATGAACTTACTAAATAAATAAGTTTAAAATTTAGTGTTATATAAGACACATTTGTGTATTATATACAGCACTTTTGAATTTAATTTGAAAGTAAATAGTAGATTTATTATTTGAATATTTTTAGAAAAGAAATATACACCGGATTGTTTGTAGAGAAACGATATGTTATTTATTTTAAGTAATTTAAAAATCTCAATATACTGGCATGGTATAAATTGACTATATACCAGTAAGAATATATTGTGTGAATTCGTTTGTTCAATCAGAATAGTTATGTTGATTATTTTTGAAAAAATTTACATTTCTCGCCGACGTCTTATAATATGTTCAAAGACTGTAGCCATTCTACGATTTGCATTTTGTTTTCTTATAGAAGAAAATGTTTTCAATTCAACAAAACCTTTTTGGTCAATTGGTATTACCCAATTTCTTCATAAATGAGTTTCCGCTTTATTTTAAACCACACTAATTTATTCACTGTTCACCGAAGTTCGTCGTCTTAAAGATAAAATATAAAATGTTTTACGAATGTGGGAATCCCACGATTTAGCAAGATTTTTATTATTTAAGATTAGACTAAGATATCTTATGCTCTTTTTATATTAGTCCATCAATCAACTAGTATCAGAAACCATATAAATTTTATGATTTACATTTGTATTGATGTACTGTGAGACCGCAATATTTTATCTCGAAATTTTATTCAAACCTTTTTAGTACTCTAAATAATAATTATATTACCCTAGTAGCATAAATTTAAAGAATTTAATCAAGTGTTAATATCGATTATTATGCAGAACATAAAGTTTCTATAGTAGGTAATGTTTCATTTGTAATAAAGCCAAAAATATGCTCTTTGAAGTGGAAACTTTTTCCATGCAAAATTAAGATTTACGCACTAATCTGTGTGCTCTTATTTCCACAAATTGAATTATTTTTATTATAATTTCTTATCTTTATTAAAAACGATCGCCGCGCAATAAATGAAAAAAAATTATGATTTAGATATCACTTATTTATACACGATATATCGTATTTTTTTTAATAACATAGGAATTTTTAACAAGGTTAAGAATAAAACTACTAAATTATTAAACTGTCCAACAATGATTGAATTAATCTTAAATAACCAAAAAATTTCATGATATTCATTATTTCAATGCACCGTAGTAATTTTAATCTATCTTCTTATGGATTATCTTCTCGAAGGTTTAGACATCTTGTCGTTTTCATTATAACTGCAATTACTTATGAATTCATTAGAAAATTAAAGTTATATAACGTTAATAGTGTTCCACCAGGTTTTGACATCTTTAATAACTTTTGATTCAGCGAATATTTTACGTTATTATTATTTTTAATTAGTTTATGAATTCTTAAACTATGCTTAAATCATATTATCATTATTTGTTTTCCTGAAATTTCAAAATAGCCATTTTTTAGACATTTTCTAACAAATAATTTTGATGGATCGATAACAACTTAAGAAATTAGTAATTATTGATTTACATGCATTTCAATAAATTGAGTATGTGTATAGTGCGAGTGGAAAATGTGTTATAAATATACACCAGTAGGGAGCTAAACCACCCACGCTACATATCTACTTAATGTCTACTTGTAACTCAACAAGTACTTATCCTAAAGTTGTTATCGAACCCATCAAAACCTGTTGTAAGAAAAATACTAAAAAATAGCTAATTTGAAATTTTATTATAAAAAAATAATTATTTAATTTTTTTCTATAAGAGACAAATAATAAAAAAATATGCATTTAACGTTTATTAAAAAGCGAAAAAATAAAATAAATACAAAATATTCACCACTGGATCAAGAGTTATTAAATATGTTATTAGTTGGTGTGACAGTCGGTATAAATTTAATTTTTACGATAATTATTATTTAACCCTTTAAAACTAAATAAATTAAAAAAAACTCGATAAGTTAAAAAAAAAAAAAAGTGAAATTTCTATTGTGTAATATGAATTGACTTACATAAACTTGATACCTAATGTTCAAACATGTGGTTTTGCGCGCTGAAAAATATTTTTGCATTTTATATTTTAAATAAAATTACTACCATTTTTAGTTTCGATTTTTTTTTAAGAAGTTAATTAACCCTAATGTGTATTATTTACAGAGTGTTTTTTTTTTTATTATGAACTACTTAATTCATTGAAAAATAAAAAAAAATTAGTATTTATTTGTTGGTTTCTTTTAGATAAATATTTTTCTCAATTTATCAATAAAGACGTATTTTTTATATTAAATTGCAATATTATGTTGAACAAAGATTAAAGTAAATAAGTTCAACATTATAACTACGTCAATTTTAATACATACACGTATAATTACAATCTTCAAACTAATTAAAATTACATCATTCTTTTTGTCATATATCGCCATTTTATAAGTATGTAAAATAGCGTGTTATTGGCAAAGTCACAAGAAAGAGATACAACTTACAATGAGAAAAACTTCTATAATAATACAAGTTTCATTTTATTTCAACTTGTATAGCTTAACTTATAAAAGGAAGTATCATTTATTTTAGCTTTGCAATGGTTCACGTGTCTTGGGAACTAAGTAGTTCTGTTGAAATAAGAATTCGGTCTACAAGTTTTGCTAAGATCTATTCTACTATTTTCCTATGAAACATATAATTAGATTTCATCGAGCAATCCACAATTTGTTAAGTTGAGTTGAGTTTTTCATATCATATACCTATGAATAAAGAACTCAATATAAAAAAATAAAGTTACTTTTATATTGTATTGTATTATACACACACACACATATATATATATATATATATATATATATTAAAATTTTAAATAAAATTAGATAGACAGTATTTAAAACGAGTTTAATAAAAAAAACTGTTTATTGTACATTAATTAATTGAATAAAAACATTTCTATACATTCCTTTTAATAGAAATAGTCGAAGTTTCATAATTAATGGTGAAAAACTCTGTAATTAGGTATGTCAAAGTTGTTGGAAGAACTATACTTTATATTTTTCATTCTTATTTTTAATGACACTGAAAATAATATGGTGGGAGCACCGTAGTTTGGGAAACAAAAAAATCGTTAGCCTACTAGATTGTATCGCAACATAACCTCTTTAACCCATTGTACATCCTAGTCACTGGACAATTTCCTACAGTGTGTAGTTGAACAGACATGAATTTTCGGCTCAAAATGTCGTTAATCATCGCAGGCTTAGTCCGCCTTAAACATGACAGTGTAACGGTGATTTTGGGTTTGTTTTGTATATTGACCTATCACTTTTTCATTAATGAAGCTGAGGGTGTAAAAGTAATGTATTACAAGCGTACTATGTATTCATCTCAAGTTTTGGAAACGGAGTAATTGACACGGGGCCCCTCGACTCTCGCCACCTTTATCGCCCTACTACGTGTAGTGTATATGGTTGTTTGACTGACTAACACCGCGTGTCATACGCCACGGTAAAAAGTCCAGCAAGTGTCGCACGACCCACGCAAATATACGAGGAAGTCATCTTCGTGACAGCACCTGGTTCGCACCGCCTTCCCTGTAACGTTCAGTGATGTTTTCAGAAAACCGTCCTCGCACGATGCCCGTGCATTTCTTCGTGTATCATTGTTTATTTAATTGTCGTGTTTTTTGCGGTATTATTGTGAAGGATAATAAGAACGGCTAAACCGCGTAACGTTTGGTGTCGTTTAAAATTTGTTCAATACCACAGAACATGACCTCATACGAACTCTATTACTTATAATGTATTTCACATTTCAGTACGTATGTCCTACTTTTTTTACCACCCTCAGTTTTTATTGTAGAAGTTAACATTTTTAATACAATATACACACGAGTCTCATCTTGTGTTTCTAACTGTGTACAAACATGGTTTATTTATAATAACAAATGAAGAAATTTATACCTTATTTATATAATTATTTTTGACAAGAATTTTTGTTCCACTTAAACATAAATGTTACTGTTAATCATTTAATTAGTTTACGAGTGCATAACGTATCGTAAAACAAAACGTTGTTACTTGTAATTTTGTTTAGAATATTTTTGATTTTATTCGTTTACATAGCTATATGAACATAATATTCGAATTTAATATTATTGAGATAATTTTTAGGATTAAACGTATAACATTGCTTTTTAAAAAATCCACTTGTTTCATTTGACGATCAAAAATGTTATAATTTTATCTAAAGTTTTGTATTTTATGAAGTGTACTTTACATATACATAACTTGGGCGTTTTGCATAGTTGTATACGAGTACCGACACTCGTAGAATGCGAAACGACTGAAGGCAAAAAGATATATGAATTCGCGCATAGCACAACAAGTTGTAATATAAAGCTCATACTCGAGTCCTCATTTTTAGTATAGGTTAT